TTCAGGCGTGGCAGCAATTGTGTGGTTGGCCCAGGACTGGGCAGTGTTTTGTTTTGTTGTGCATAGGGCTGCTATGAGTCGGTAGCGACTCGATGGCACCTAACAACAACAACAACAACAAAAGAAAGTGTTGACTTTTCAGGCTTTTTAATATGTATTTAAGATCTATTCACTTATTTGTGTGGCTTGATAGATCATCTCCATCATTGAATAGTATTTTACTGTATAGAAATAACACAATTTGCTTATCTACCTAAGAAAAGATCTATGAAATGACATCTTGATTTTTTTCTAGTTTTGGGCAATTACAAATAAAACTATTGTGAATGTTGACTTATTGGTTGTTTTGTGGACATAATTTTTCAAACTGGTTGAGTATATACCTAGGAGCAGAGGTGCTGAATCATACAAACTGTTTACCTTTCTAAGAAACTGCCAAAGTGTAACTGTCAATAAATGAGAATTCCTTTCTAAAGTTTATAACAAGGGTATTTTTAAATGCATTATGTTCTTCTTACTAAATATCTTTTGTAACTCATCATGCACCAGTCTTGGAATAATCCCATTATTTTGGTTTCATATATTGCTCTTTTGGTGCAGGAATACGAATATAAGCTTAGATTTTTTTCCGCATGGCAAGCCATAATAAGATTGGTTAGGGTCATTTTCATTATTTCCTGATTTTCTGTGGGGATTATGAAATGAGGGGGGACAATACACTTCAATATTCTAACAACTTTCTAGATTGAAAGTGATACCTTGGAAAACCCTTTAGACAATTTCCAAACAGAGGTCAGTTTTCAATTTCTATTTTGATCTCCTTCATTTAATCCTGATTTTGAAACCTTGGATTGTTTTTAAGTGCCAGGTTGATTCCGACCCAGTTTCCAAGGAGCGACTGGTGAACTTGAACCACTGGCCCTGCAGTTCTATCCAACTTTCCAGTCGTGTGCATTAGGTTACAGAGCCACACCAGGACACCAAAGTTGTTAAGTTCCTCCTGAAGATGTCCTTTTCAGGCTTTGATAGCTCGGTAACAGGTCCTAGCAAATACAGTATGCATGGCTGCGGCAGAGGATCCCTGTAATTTAGCTGTATGACCTCCAGGGGGCGCGCGGATACCGCGAACCACTGATCGCAAAGCTGGAGACCAAGGACAGGAAAGAGGGCGAGCGAGCGCAGAACCTGCCGTTTTCCAGGTGCTTTATTTTTCCCTGTGCTTTATTCTAGATTTTGTTGCGTAAAGCTTTGGTTCATAGCGACCCTGTATAGGGTTCTCAAAGCCAGGCTGGTGGGCTTGAACCACCAACCTTGTGGTTAGTAGTACAGTGCTTATCCTACAGGGCCACACCAGAAGTCCATATCATGTTTTGTTGTTTATTGTTGTTACGTGCTGTCGAGTCTGTTCCGACCCACAGCGACCCTGTATAGGGTTTCTGAGGAGCGGCTGGTGAGCTTGAACCGCCTACCTTGCGGTTCAAGCAGACTTTGCCATCCAGCACATTTCCCCACCACGCCACACCAGAACTCCAGATAGTGCTTTAGTAAGAGTTATTGTATAAAAACATCCATTTATTGAATGGCTGACGACTAGAAATGGCAATATGCTGTTATTTATAAATTCAGGATTATTCCAGGAGAAACAAATTCATAGTAAAAGGAAGCTTATTTACAATCCAGACGTGAATATGAGGGTTCTTCCTAAAAGTATTGCTGCAAAATCATAGAAACCTTTATTTAAAAAATATATTTAAATGTAAAGCTATTATTTCGCTTCATAGCCTCCATTTGGGTTTGTTCACTTCTGAAGGTGCTGTTTCCATCTCTCTAAGCTTACTGAAAGAAGTCTGTGCTCTTACATTATGTCAAGAAAATCAAATCATACCCCTTTTCAGTGTTCTTTGAATTTGGGGAACAAAAAGAAGTCTAAAAGGGTAAGATCAGAGATGTAGGATGGATGGGGTCAGATTTCCCAACGAAATTTTCATGGGACAATCTTTGCTACCCTCAAAGAATTGCCGTGATGGAAAAAGAAATTTCTTGGTGCAACTTTCCTAGTCTTTTTCACACCAATTCACTTTCAATTTTCTGAAAACCTTTCATAATAAGCCCCATGATTGTCCTGTGTCCTTTGAGGAAATCTATCAAGATTACCCCCTTGAGGTCCCAGAAAACAGTAACATAACCTTCTGAGCTGAGTTCTCTGCTTTGAATTGGCGTGACCCAGTAGATTCTCCTCAGAAATCACTGTTTTCATTGGATTTTTTTTAAGGTGCCCTAACAAAACTAAGGTAAGTGTGTTATGGGGGCAAATTTGTCTGCAGCCACACACTGATCACAGAGATATATTTAAACACATTTTGTTTGAAAGAAACCCGTGTATGTATAAACTAAAACCCTAGAAGCAATATTTTTTCCCTTACCCTGATATATAAAATATTCAGACTTTCTAGTCAAATATTGGGGCCTGACCAGTGTCCTGCTGTGACTTACTAGAGCAGAAACTAAAAGGAAAGAGGCACCCCAAATATACATGCTTTGTCATTTTTAACTTTAATAATACATTTGACTTCCTACAATGTTAAGGTAGTTGAAAAATAATTTAAAACTGATAGGTATCATGGAATCAGTTCCAACTTAAAGTAATCCTATGAATAACAGAAAGGTGCCCTGGTACAGTAGTGGATTACTAGCTAGGCTGATAAACACAAGGTCAGCCGTTCAAACCTACCAGCTGCTTTGCAGGAGACAGATGAGGATTTCTGCTCATGTAAAGACTTACATCATTGGAAACACTATCGAGGGTCACTAGGAGTCAGAACCGACTCCACGGCACTCAACCACCACTACCACCATGAACAACAGAACGAAAAATTGTCTGGTCCTGTCCCATTCTCACAATTACTGTCACGATTGAGTACATTGTTGTAGCTACTGTGTCAGCCATTGAAAGTCTTCCTCTTCTTCAATGACATTTTATTTTACCAAGCATGTTGTCCTTTACCAGGAACTGGGACTGGTCCCTCCTGACAACATGGCCGAGGTACATGAGACAGTCTCACCATTCTTGTTTACAAGGAATATTTTGGTTGTATGTCATGGAAGCAACAGTCAAGAAATCAAATTATGTACTGCATTAGGCAAATCTACTGCACAAAACCTCTTTAAAATATTCAAGAGCAAAGATGTCAATTTGAGGATTAAGTTACGCCTGATCCTAACCATGGTATTTTCATTAACCTCATATGCATCCGAAAGCTGCACAGTGAATAAGGAAGACTGTAGAAGAATTGATGCATTTGAGTTATGGTGTTGGAAGAGAATATTAAAAGTACTATGGACTGCCGGGAAGTCGTCAAGGCAAGCAATCAAGTCCCTTCAGGACAACCCCTGCCCCCCCTTCTAAGACTGAAACTCAAAGGGAACACATGAGCAGGCATGTAAACTTGCTGGTGACCACCTTGGTGTACTGGTGAGTGGAAGAGGGGAAAAGGCAGCAATGAAGAAATGGGCTGAGTTCAACCACAGTCCATTTACTCCCCTTGACCTGGAGATGAGAGAGA